GAGAGAGAGAGAGAGAGAGAGAGAGAGAGAGAGAGAGAGAGGAACACGGAGAAGAAGAAGGTCACGAAGAGGCAGAAGAAGAAGATGGGAATGGAAGGTGACGACGCGGGTAGCAGAAAGGCAAGAAGGCCGTGTTTTGTGCCTAGAGGAGGGGTGGAGTAAGGTGTTTCCTCTCTCTGCTGAAGTACGTGCTTTATAGTGCCTGTATAAATGTTGTCAATGCCAGACAAGGGAAACGAGAAAGAGTTAACAGACTGCATATGTGGAAAGCAGTCATTTAAAATTTTATCGTTTGTCTTTCGTTCTTACTGTTATCATCATGAATAAGCTGGAACGTGGATGGTACGTAGTTTGCGAGGAGCTGTTGAAAGTTAAAACTAAGTGCGGTTGGGCTTGATGTAAAACTTTACTCAAAAAAAAAAAAAAAAAAAAAAAAAAAAAAACTTAAGCGAACCGTTCGAGTTTTTCTGAAATAGGCTCCGGGATCTGCAGGCTGTTATCGCATGCTATTTTTGGGATTGGTTGTTTACGTCATTGCTTTTTTTTTTTTTTTTTTTTTTTTTTTTTTTTTTTTTTTTTTTTTTTAAACATTACGTCGTTGTTTCCATTACTGCTATTCTGACTTTCGGAATTATTATGGATGTGGAAATTGCGTGCAGTGGAAATTCCACATGGTACTGCACGTGTTCGACTGATGTTGAAGCCGCATTGGACCTATGTGAGGACCAAGAAACCTCATCTCTCTCTCTCTCTCTCTCTCTCTCTCTCTCTCTCTCTCTCTCTCTCTCTCTCTCTCTCTCTCTCTCTCTGTTGCCCCTGCTTTCTACTGTTTTCTCGCGCTCGTTCTTCTCCTCCCTCTTTCTCTCTCTCTCGTGCTCCCATTGACCCCTGCTTTAAAGTCTTTCTCTCTCTCTCTCTCCCCCCTTGACTTCGCTTTCTACAATTTTCCTGTGCTCATTCCATCCCTCACTCTGGTTCACGCAATCCTGAGCACGCTTTTCCCCTTCTCTCTCTGTGCCTCCGGCTTGTTTCCTTCTCACGACAGAGATCATCATCAGTGATTTCCGTCTGTTCGCTTCTTGCTATCTCCTTCTCTCTTTCTTTCCCACCGCCGTTATGCAATTGAATGATAGACGTATGCGCATGTGTTAAGATTTATTCGACCCAACCTGGATGGTCCTTTGCTCATCAAAGCCATCAACCACCATCCAAAACTTTCGACAGTAGTGTTCGTCCTTCTCGGATCTAGTAGGGGTGTCCTAGATGGTCCGCTGGTGCGACCACTCGATCTAAGGTGGTGCTACTAGATGGGTACCTTTTAGTTGGTTGCCCTGAGCTGTGGTATCTAGTAGGGGTGTCTTGGCTGCATCAGGCGTGTGGTGCCTGAAGAATCAGGGTTGGGGAACAATCTTAGTTCTTCAGGACAAGCTGAGTACGAAGGAGAGGGATGGGAGGGGAGGGAAGAGAGGAA